GTATGGGAAAATACTGTGCAATATTTTATTTTCCTTTCTTATTTCTTGTTATATTTGGTATAGAAAGATATTCCTTGTAAAAGAGTCCTGTAGTTTTTCATGTAAAGAATTGTATCTAATTTAGGATTGCTATGTATCTTCTTGTATAGATATATCTTTCCTTGTGAATGAAAGAGGAGACTTGAAATCCCAATATTTCTTGTAGTTTTTTCAGTTTCAAATTCTTGTTTTGCAACTTTGACCAAATATTGCACAAATGCAGTTTAAGAATCAGTATTTAGTTTAAACAGTAACATCTAGGTGTGTTTATTTGCGCCAAAGACAAGTGTTGCAACCAATCTTTATATTTTCTTGCCCTTTGGGATGTCATTAAAATTTTTGATATTCGGCCTATCCCTATTTACTAAATTCGATGCGTATGTGCTTTTAACCATTAAGCTGACCCTTCAACTTCCAACATTGAATAAATAAGTATGCTTTTCCAGCCAAATGCCAAGTTTGTTCCAAATTGTAGTAGTTTAATAGGCGTTTGGATAATATTATAATAATTGGTTAAAGTTGAGGTAAAAATTAAAGTACTATATAAAATTGAAGATAAGAGGAGCAAAGTTTTGTGGAAAAGAAAGTAATAACAAATTAAGTAATAATGATCAGTAAGAAAGGAAGCTGACTTGGTCAACCAACCAATACTCGCCTAAATAGAGGGTTATGTTGCCTCATTAATATATATCCGAGCTAGCTTGTCCATAAAGTTATAAGTCATATTGATCGGTTAGAGGAAAACTGAGATTGGTCAACCAATAATCACCCAAATAGCATTATGTTGCCTTGAAATCTTTGACACTCGTGGGAACTTGGAACCTCCGCCAATAAATAGAACGATTGCTGCATATTTACCTTCCTACAATTAACTTAGCATTCTTTATTTTGATGTAAATATTTTATAAACCAATAATAACTTCTTAAATAGCTTTATCAGTTTATTGTTCTTAAGGATTTAGTTTTCCTTTTTAAGATAATGCCACTCTGGTTGAGGCTAGACTCTAGAGTTAATTAAGCGCGCAGATAGTTACATGTTTATTGATCTCATAAACTCTAGCCTATGATATTACTGCACATATTATTACTTTGTAGCAATAGGTACGAGTTAAATGCAAATTAAATGTCTTAGTATTGTTTAACTATATAAATATAGTTTAACTCAAAGACAATACAACCACATCTTGTACCACCAAGAGAATTTATGCATCACATTTTCCGAATCCATAAAAAACAAACTTTAAGTACGTACTAGTTGAAGACATGTAGGAGCATTTGGGTGCATGGTGTGTATATGAAGACATGTAGGAGTATTTGGGATCACAATCCACCTGCGGATTGTAGCTGGTATTGGAAGAAGATAAATGGATTAAAACATAGCATTGCTCAATGGTACAATGGTAATACATATACCTTGACTGGAAATGGTGTTTACTCTGTTTCAAGCAGCTACAATGCAATGCTTGGCCATATGTCAAGAAGCTGGGAAATGAATTTGGTATGAAGTGGAGTTCTGTTTGGTGATTGTTGTTGGGTGAAATCCATGAGAGGAGCATTGGCAAGGTGGTCAGACATCAATATACCGGACATGGCAATACCTGAAACTTTGCCGTGGATATTGGAAGCAATTTAGAAAGGAAGTAGCATAAGCAATGATAGGTGCAATAGTATATCATACTTGACAAGCTAGGAACTGGAAAATTTTCAGACAAATTAACTTGAACATAGAATTTTGTATTGGTCAAATCAAGAAAGAGCTCTTATGTGTAGGATTCAATTCCAGTATAAAGAGCTTCTTCAATAATTCCAATTCCCGGAAAGTCTAGAAGTACTCTTCCTCTGGCGGACCCAGACTCTCCCTTATTAGGCTTCTGAGTTCATACCAAATTCATGCCTATCTACACTAATAATTCATGAATCAATTCCAACCTCTGAGTTAACAAGGACAAGTATGGATGGATTTTGTTATGGAGTTAAAAGAGAGACACAAGCATCGTGCTCACAGAAAGACTAAGAATGCATGCAGAGTCCAGAAGAGCAAGGTAGTGTCCATTGTTGATACAAAGATTGTGTAATTAGTTTGTAGTGCAGGTTTATTTTTGTAGTGGTTTAGTCAGATATATCAGAGGTCGTGATGTACTGAGATGATGCTTAAGCACAAGAAGTACAAGTAAAAGTACGTACTTAAGTACAAGTAGCGACAAATGCAAAAATAAATTAAAAACAAACTTTAAAGACTTAAGCACAAGAAGCAAATTCTCAATTAATTGCAAGAACACCTAATAATAGGTAGTGGGTACGCAGACTTTACCCTTACCTGATGAAGATAAAGAGATTGTTTCCGATAGATTCTCAGTTCGAAAAAAGGTGAAAAAAAAGAGAAACGAAGAAGAAAAATCATCTGAATTAATTGCAACAATGATTAAAAAGATAACTAAAAGAGAAAACATCAATCTTACAAAAAGTTCATTCAACATAATTCAAAGTAGCAAATTCTCAATCCAAAATAACCTAAACTAGAACGACGTAACACTAATTCTCAACGATCAAATGGACCATTTGGATCGAGTTGTTTGCACAAAGTCAAGTAGGTTAAATAAAGAACACGATCCTTTGCACCTGTGCGATGATTCTTAGTATGTTCACAGAAATACTTAAGATCGTCAAGAGTACAACATCCAAGCATTTTCCCAAGTAGCAAAAACAACCAATTTATGGAACTTTTCTCCTCTGAGATTATTGGTTTCACACTGTTTTCTTGTTTACAAAATTGACAAGTTGGAAGCAAAGGATTCATCCAAATATCAGGGGCACGATCATGCATGGCTGCTTTGTTTTCAGCAATATAAGTTCCAATTTCTACGAATTTTTCTCTCAGATCAAACTCCATTTGATATTTTCTCTCACACCTCTTGCATTGAACGTCGCCGCTTATGGTGAAGAGTTGCTTGGACAACAAGTAATCTAACGTGTGGATTGTGGCTCGGCGGTTTGTTGCCCAAGGAAATGGGGGTGGGATAGTGTCACTTTTTCCGTCTTTCGCTGCTTTTGAAGGGTTACGTCGTTTGCGCATTGGCTGCAGTGGAGCGGCTACTGTTGGGGTTGACGACGCTAAAACTGTAACGGGTGGGAGGTAGAAAGAGCCTGATGGTAGAGGCAATGATGGTGGTGGGAGATTTGGTTGATATTTTGGAGGAGATTGTTTTCGAGGTCTATTAGTAGGAGGAAAGGACAATGAAAGTGTGAGCAAATCATTATCTTCGTCTTCTTCTCCTTCTTCTCCAACTCTTAGAATATTTTCGGTAGAGAATTTACTAAAATTACTAGCATTATTTTGATCATGCAAGTTGTTGTTCTTTCTTTTTCTGTTGATTTCTTGCTGATCATTTTGGTTGTTCATTGTAATTTGAAATAGACACTAAAATGATTCAATTAGTGACGCCTAGGGCTGTTAGAAGCAAAAGAAGAAACTAAAAAGATACAAAGAAGAGAATAAAAAGGAGAGTTTTGGGGAGGGAGTTTTAGAGATATACATGCATATAATTATATAGAGATAACGTTGACGTTTAGAATTTCAATTAGGTTAGAATTCTTTCAAATTCAAAAGAAGATAGACATGCATGTGATTACCTGAAATTAATTACTAGATGTACACAAATCTTACTTTTCTCAACTTTACGAGGTTTAATGGTAAAAATAAATTTACCACGTTTGTAGGACATAAATTTAGTAAATTCCCCCTATTTTTCTTGTTCCCCTTTTGTCTAGTATATTAGTATATTATTGAAAACTATTTAGCAAAATTCCTGTGTTTTTTGGCTATATTTGGTCAATTATTCCGCAAAAGTGTATGTAAACTTTGCAAAAAAGGAGCAAAAAATATGTTATTTTAGTACTCATCCTTGAGAGTTAGCTTATTATGAGGATAAAGAAACAAAAAAAAAAAAAACCAAAAAAACCTTTCAATTATTCAAGAAGTGCAATGTTCCTATTTTTACAACGCGAACGCCATTAGGTGTAATTTTTAAATTTTGTTTCCTTTGCAACCAAGAAATGCTTCTCCCTTCTCACTAAAATATTTTCTCAATTCTCTTCGTCTTTTTTTTAAAAAAAAAATACCAACTGCGCATTTTCACTATAGGAGATAAAGGCTTTTAGGACGACTATTTCCGTCGCCACCAAAAGGCTATATCGCCAGTTGGAGTGGCGGACTTTCTTAAATTAACTTGTGGCGTAATTGTTTAATCTTTGCGGCGAACTTATAACTTGTTTGGCCATGCTTCTAAAAGTGCTTTTCTCAAAAGTATTTTAAAAAAAAATATTTTTGGTGAGAATCAGTTTGTGTTTGATTAATTAATTCGAAAATCACTTTTGAGGAGTAATTAGTGTTTGACCAAGCTTTTGAAAACTGCTCCTAAGTGTATTTTTCTCAAAAGTGCTTCTCAAAAAAGTATTTTTGGAGAGAAGTTATTTTTTTCTCCTTCTCAAAAACTGCTTCTGGTTCTCCTCAAAAACATTTTTTTTTCATCTAAAAGCTTGGCCAAACATCTCAATTTTTGGCCAAAAACACTTTTGACCAAAAAAGCACTTTTAGCCCCAAAAAACGTTTGGCCAAACAGGCTATTAATCGCCTCAAAATCTAATTCGCTTTATTATTAGCTTTTGTGGCGACTAAACTAGCCATAAAAGGTAAACACATGCCATCACAAAATAGATTTAAGAATATGGTCGCCACTTCCATCGGTGATATATACTTTTGGTGGCGACTAAAATGGTCGCGACAGAATCTCATCACCAAAAATCTTATTTTCTATAGTGTTTATTCAACTTTAAAAATGAGTACAATTTCATAGTGTGATCAAGGAGAAAAGGAGAAGAGCACACATCTATAGAATCAAAAATAATCAAGGAGTATGGATTGAGGGTAATGAAGCTATCGCAAATGCTGCTATTGATCACTTCAACAACTTGTTTACCTACACTTACAGTGACAACAACCTGTCCATTCTTGATTTTATTGAGCCAATAGTTACAGATGAAGACAACCATCTCCTGAACTAGATCCCTGATGAAGAGGAGATAAAAAATACAGTATTCTCTATAGACCCCAACAGCTCTGCAGGCTCAGATGGTTTCAATGGTCACTTTTACCAAGCATCCTGGGACATTATAAAAAGGGAGGTTTGCAAGTTTTTTCAAAATTTCTTTAATGGTTATAATCTCACCATATACTACACCCATACTAATCTGGTCCTCATCCCTAAAGTCCCCGACCCCTCATCTTTGTCACAATTAAGACCCATTAGTCTCTGTAATGTGTCAAACAAGATCATCTAAAAAATTATCAGTGCTAGGATAGCTAATATTCTTCCTAAATTAATCTCTGATAATCAATCTGACTTTGTTAAAGGTAGACTAATCACTGAAATTATTCTTCTTGCCTAGGAACTTGTTCATGGAATCAAGAAGAATAATTAGGGACGCAACATTGTCATTAAGCTTGACATGTCAAAAGCTTACGACAAGCTCTCTTGGAGTTTCCTTATGGCTGTGCTAAGGAAAATAAATTTCTCTGAAGCTATCATTGATACCATACATAGATTGATTTATGAGAATTGGTATTCCATATTAATTAATGGAACAAGACATGACTTCTTCAAGCCAACAAGAGGATTGAAGCAGGGGGACCCTCTTTCCCCATCTCTTTTTATTCTAGCCGCTGAGGCTTTATCCAGGGCCCTTAATAGACTCAATGGGAACAACCAATTTATTGGTTTCTCTATGAATCCCAAAGGACCAAAGATAAACCACCTAAGTTATGCTGATGATCTAATTCTTTTCTCTTCTGGTGACAGGAGATCCGTGAAGTTGCTAATGGAGACTCTAGATGACTACCAGGATGCATCTGGCCAAGAGATCAACAAGGAAAAAAATTTCTTCCTGAAGTATAACTATAGAGTTAACAGAGATAATAAAAGAGCCATTAGAAGAATCCGAAAATGAACAGGATTTAAGCATATGCAATTCCCATTCACATATCTTGGATGCCCTATCTATATAGGCAGAAAGAAGATTTGCTACTTCTCTGATCTAGCTACAAAAGTGCTAAACAAACCTGGCGGCTGGCAAGGGAAGCTCCTATCATTTGGTGGTAAAGCAATTATTATCAAACACATACTTCAGTCTCAAACTCTATATCTGCTTGCAGCTATGGTTCCTCCCAAGACCATTATCAAGCAGATTAAAATGTACTTGTCAAATTTCTTCTGGGGTGAAAAAGCAGGCAAGAAGAGCTATCACTAGTGCTCCTGGGATAATATGAGCTATCCTACCGATGAGGGAGGAATTGGTTTTAAAAAGCTACAAGATATATGCAACTCGTTTGCAGCAAAAAAATGGTGGAAACTCAGGGTGGAAGATAATTTGTGGACAAAATTTCTCCGAGCTAAGTAGTGCCAAAGATCTAACCCCATCTCAAAAAGATTGGACCCCAAAGACTCTAACCCTCGGAGGAGCCTAATGGAGACCAGAGACAAGGTTGAGCCTAAAATTCTCCGGAAGATCAACAAGGGCAATATCTTGTTTTGGTGGGATAAGTGGATTCCCCAGGGTAACATTAAAACATACGCCAACCTTCCTTCGAAACCAGGAAACATCAACGTTAGAGAGTTTTTCACCAACCATGGCTGGAACATTGAGCTTCTCCAGGACACTGTGCCACAGAGAGTTTTAGATGAGATTATACAAATCAAGATTGGCCGTAATCAAATTCAAGACCAAGCCATCTGGACCCCCAACCCTCAAGGATCCTTTACATGCTCCTCTGCCTATCAACTTCTAAGGAAAAGAAGAGAGAGCTCACCTCAACTAGCCAAAATCTGGAATAAGCATCTACCTTTTAAAATCTCCTTTGCAACATGGAGACTCTTAAAAGGCAGGTTACCACTGGATGACACTGTTCTAAAATTTGGTACTAACATTATCTCTAGATGTTGTTGTTGCAGGGTACCAGAAGAAGAAACTATGGACCATGTTTTTGCAAATAGCAATACAGCAAAGAAGGTATGGAACACTATGTCCACTCCACTGGGATTCCAGACCACGGGAAGGAACACTCTATGCATCCTAGATTAATGGTGGAGCAGACAACCAAAAAATAATGTCCATAAGTTTCTACTGCATATTACCCCAACTATAATATGCTGGGAGATATGGAAGGCCAAATGTGGTAAGAAATATGATAAGAAGACTATTTATGTTTTTAAAATATGTCAACAGGTTCTTTTTCAGGTTAAAGTTTCCATGGGCCAGAAATACAGTCAAATGAATTGGGACTGGACATGGAATATAGTGTGCAACGTAGTGGAAGACTACAAAACAAGATTGAAGAGTGTTATGGTTCTATGGGAACCTCCAGATAGCAATCAGTGAAAAATTAACACAGACGACAGCTTCATCGCAAACTTAGGCAAAGCAGGCACTGGTGGTGTTGTTAGGAAAAGAAATGGTCACTTGGTGATGGCCTTCTCTGCACCAGTACATTTCTTAACTAACAACTACTCTGAAGTGCAAGCGGCTCTGTTTGGTATTCTTTGGTATTGCGACCATAACTGTCAAGATCTAAGCTTGGAACTAGATTCTCTTCTGGTTGTCAACATGATTTTAGGGACATAAAATACCCCATGGAGACTTAAAGAAGACGTTACTCTAATACAACAAAAGGTGCAACAACATAGTATCAAGATCATGCATTGATACAGAGAAGGGAATGAAGTGGACGACGCTTTGTCCAAACACGCTACTACACTCAGTGAGCAGGTTATTTTCCTTAACGAAAATGACCTACCTATTGAGGCCAAAAGAGCCATTACTATGGATAGATTGCAGGTACCAAATTTCAGAATTAGGCCAAGAAAACACTCAGGATGGATCTTTAAGCCACCTTAAATGATAAAGGAAGAGCTACTGCTGAGCTGAACTCACATCCCATCATAGTAGCTCTCTTATACTTGTAAAGGCCTAGCCATTTACGTTTCTGTTGGCAGTGCTCCAATGGGAGGTTTTGGTTTAAATGTCCCCCTTCTTTGTACTATTTTGCTAATGAATAAACAGGGTAGGGGTCAATGCCAAACCCCCCGACACCACAGGAGATGAAAACCTTGGTGGATGATTTAAATTAAAAAAAAGTGATTTGAGGGGATTATATATTAATACAAACTCCCTAATATAGCATGAAGGAGAGATAGCCTATCCAGATACATGGAAATGAAGTAAATGCTATTGGTACAAATTACAAAACATAGGCTTCAAGCCTTTGTGCAGATGAAAAAGAAACCTATACTAGAGGGAAAAGGGAGGCACATTCTGCCTAGTTACTAGTCCTAGGGCCAAAGGGTAAACTCTTATGAAAAAATAAGGCAACCAGTACTGTCTCCGACCACACCACCACCACCACAAATGCCATCTTTATATAGTTACTTGTCTTCGCTAGCTGTGAATTCTTTTGCCATTTTTGATACGATTGTAATCCTGTTCTATTGATGCTTTTGTTATCATGTTCTCCCATACGAACAATAGGAGCTACAGTTGGCAGTTAGTTTCCAGTTGGACTTTAAGTTATAAATGTTTAGTTTCATATGAAGTTGAGTGAATGTTGTATCCACCATAGATACGTTCTTCTTTTAATATGAGCATATTCTTAAGGAATTTTTACGCAGTATGGCTAAAATGAGAAAATAAGTATCCATTTTAGCCAAACTCTCAACTTATTACCAACTTTAGCTAGCCCTATCCCTAATTTTTTCACAAAAATAGCCACCGATTGAGTTGCATAAAAGTCGCTGACCAATTTGCAGATATCTCCCTCCTTACTACTCTCTCCACTTTGCCACTTGCACGGAGCACAGCCGTTGTTGACGATGGTGGTATACACAGATTGATTGTACCATGTTAGGATTTTAACTAACTGTTGGCCCAAATGAAGTTTTGTTTTGATGATTGATAAATGAACTTATGCGTGAACCATGTCCATACACAGTGTACACAGACACGGGCAGATTCAAGCATAAGGGATGCACGTGAAGGAGATAAGTTTAAGTTGTTATATCTGATATCTCCTGATCAAAAATGTTGTATAAATGATAAGGAGAAGGACTCCTTACTCGAAGAGAACTTTATCCAAGATAAGGGAGGAGTTAGAAGTTAAAGATAACTAGAACTCTTCTACCAAGGAAGAGTAGCATTAGAACTATAGTTATTTCTCATTCTACTAACTCTGTATATTGCATGATATTTTCATTCTACAGATACGCACAAACGCTGAAGTTAAACATGAGTTGAGAACAAAATAGCAAGGCATTTTGCAAGCAATTCTTGTGTGATTCAAGTGTGCGAACCTGAAGCTACATGAACTAAATCGAAGAACCAGTTCCAAGCATCTGTCTTTTATTCTAGTTCAATTGTAGTAGGTGTTTTCAAGTTGTACCTTTTAACTTTATCTAGAAGCAATTATATTAGGTACTCTGAGTATTCAAGTTAGAGTTAACTTGAAGTTGTTGCAACAGTTAGAGGCTGGTTGCCACAACGGGATTAGAGTTAATCCTTAGGTTTACAAAGAGTTTTGTAAATATTATTTTGGCTCAATGATTTAGTGAAATATTGGGAAAAATCCTACTGAGTAGTAGGTTGTAATTTTTTTACCTTTTGAGCCGGGTGTTTTCCACGTAAAAATACTTGTGTTCTTTACTTTCCGCATTTACTATTTCCGCAACAGTAGTATAAGGAACACTTAGAAGAACCAAGTCCTTCTATAATCAGTGCACGCAAAAATTGGACACTACACAAATCACCCCCCTCTTGTATGGGATTGGAGTATAAAACATCAATTGATATCAGAGCGGGTTATCCTTGAAGAGGCTAACACCTTAGGAGAAGATCAAGATGAGTGTACCACCTGAAAACTGGGAAGGGCAATCCACTACTAGGCCACCACTCTTTAATGGCCAGTACTACTCTTGGTGAAAAAACAGGATGAGAGATCACATTATAGGATAAGACTATGAGCTATGGGACATTGTCACCGATGGTCCACTGGCTACCTTGAAGATAAATACTGAAGGAGTAGAGGTGTCAAAGACAAGAGCGGATTGCACTGCTGAGGACTTGAAGAAATGAGAGAAGAATGCTAAAGCCAAGAAATGGCTTGTTTGTGGACTTGGTCCATATGAGTACAACAGAATCTAAAGTTGTACCACTGCTAAGCAAATTTGGGACACATTGCAACTGGTTCATGAAGGAATACCTTAGGTGAAGAGATCCAGAGGAACTCTACTGTATTCTCAGTATGAGAACTTTGCTATGAAGGAAGGAGAAACCATTCAAGAGATATACACAAGGTTCACTACACTCACAAATGAACTAAAGTCTCTTGGAAGGATTATTCCTGAAGAAGATAGAGTCGAGAAGATAATGACTAGGGTTTTGCCTATCACTTGGGAGAGCAAAATCACTGCCATTCAGGAATCAAAGAATATTTCTACTCTCCCACTAGATGAATTAATTGATAATCTCACTGCCTATGAACTTAGGAGACAAACCATGAAAATGGATGTACCTAATAAGGAAAGAAACTTGGCACTCAGAATCACTGAAGGTTCTAATCTAGAAGATGATGAAATGGATATGAACACCAAGGACTTCAAGAAGTACCTGAGGAGAGGAAAATGCTCTTCTAGAAATGGAAACTATAGCAAGTCAAAAGCTCCCGAGAAGCAAACCAATGATAGCTGCTACAAGTATGGAAAGACGGATCACCACATCAAGAACTGTCCTTTATGAAAAATTGAATGGAATAAGGAAAGAGCTCAACGAAGGAACATGTTCAACCCAAGAAAAGCAACAACAAAGGATCAACAAAGGCTATGGTCTCTGCTTGGGGGAGAAAGCTCAGATGAAAGCTCAGATGATGATGAAGATGAACAAGCAGTTATGGCAATCGGAGAATCTGATGAAGAAACTGAGGTAAGTGTAATTCATCTCAAAGACAAAATTAAATTGTTGTCTAAAGAAAGGTTGTCTGAGTTACTTCTAGAACTAATTGATGAATCTGAGGATGTAAACAATTAAAATGAACAATTGTCTAAAGAATGTGTGATTTTGAAGGCTAAGTGCAAAAACCTGAAACTTAGGGTTAGTGAAATTGTAAGTGAAAATACTGTGTTGAAGAACCAGATTCATGAACTTGACTCAAATGTCCTAGAGCTTAGATCTAAAAATCTAAAACTGAAATTAGGAATAAGTAAAAAGATAACTGATCACACACAACTCACTCTAGAAGAAAACATAGGAAAAATGAAAGATGAGTTGTATAAAAGGGATGAGTAGGTAAGAATCTTAGGAGCTAAGTAAGATCAAGCATGAGTTAGACAAAACTTGTAAATGGAACAGGTCCTCCGATGCACTTTCATGGCTACAAGAACACCATAGTAGCAACAGAAGAGGACTTGGCTTTGGGAACCTGCAACCTAAGTGGGATCCCAAAAGCAAGTACCTCACATTTCCTGAGAACAAGATTTGCACACACTGTGGTAAAACATGTCACTATAAAAGTAAATGCACTGCAAAAGAAAAGGCTAGTCAAAAGAATAAAGAATTTGTCCAAGGGAAGAATAGGCTACCAAGTTGGGCTAAAAAGAATTTGATTCATCCTTTTGCCTATAGAAAGGGACCCAAACTAGTTTGGGTTCCTAAGACTAACCCATGGTTTTCTTTTACAGGTCCAAGTAAAGGGGAGCAACCAAATATGGCGCATGGATAGTGGCTGCTCAAAGCACATGACAAGAAGCAAAAACCAGTTCCTTTCACTTGAGGACCTTAAAGGAGGTAATGTCTCCTTTAGAAATGGGAAGAAAGGTGAGATCATTGGGGTTGGAAAAGTAGGTAAGATTAATTCTCAGTCTATTGAGAATATCTACTTGATAGATGGACTGAAGTACAATCTAATAAGTGTATCACAATTGTGTGATAGAGGTAATATGGTAGCATTCACCTCTACAAAATGCTTTGTGATTAATCTTACCACTGACAAGATAGTTTGGCAGGAAAAAAGAGTAAACAACATATATATTGTAGATCTGTCCACACTTTCAGATAATGAACTCACTTGCTTAAATGTGTTGGATAATGATCCCCTCATTTGGCACAAGAGACTTGGACATGCCAGTCTAAGTCAACTCAACAAACTAGTCTCCAAGGACTTGGTGATAGGGCTGCCTAACATTAAGTTCAAGGAAGATAAAATGTGTGAGGCTTGTGCAAGGGGGAAGCAGGTAAGATCCTCTTTCAAAAGCAAGAAAGTGGTAAGCACCACCAGAACGATGGAACTGGTCCATATGGATATTTGTGGACCAATGAGAACATTGAGCAGATGTGGTAAGAGATATGTGATGGTTCTTGTTGATGATTACTCTAGGTTTACTTTGCCATTGTTTTTAACATCTAAAGATGAAACATTTGACATGTTCACTTCTTTTGTTAGAAAAACTCAGAAACAACTAGGTAATCAACTTGCATCAATTAGGTCTGATCATGGTACTGAATTTGAGAATGCTAAATTTGCTGAATTTTGTGATGAACATGGCATAAATCATAATTTTTCTGCTCCTAGGACTCCACAACAAAATGGAGTAGTTGAAAGAAAGAATAAGACATTGGAAGAAATGGCTAGGACTATGCTTTTTTCTAGTAAACTACCCATAGTTTCTGGGCAAAAACTGTGAACATTGCATGTTACATCATAAATAGATGCATGACTAGACATCTTGTTGAGAAGACTCCCTATGAGTTACTTAAAGGGAGAAAGCCAAACATATACCATCTTAGGGCATTTAGATGCAAGTGCTTTGTGCATAATAATGGTAAAGACTCCCTAGGTAAGTTTGATCCTAGAAGTGATGAGGGAGTATTCTTCACATAGTAAAACTTATAAGATCTATAACAAAAGAACTATGTGTGTAGAAGAAAGTATAATGTGATTTTTGATGAAACTAACATTCTTTCTGAGAGGCAGGAACATGATGATGAAGCAATTGGGCTGGTAAGAAACTCAAATGAAACCACATCCCAAACTGAAATTGCACTAGAGAAAGGAACAGGTGATGGAACAGGTCCTTCCACCCAGGGCAACTTGACAGGGGAAACTGAACAAAGAGTAAGTGATCCTCAAATCTCGAGGGAACCTGTCCATGAACCTGTTCCTCAGCAACAAATCATTGAAGGAACATCTAGAGGAAACCAGTTGGTTGTGAAACCTTACAAGTATCAAAGTTCTCATCCCATTGAGAACATAATTACTGATCCAACCTCTGGAATCAAAACCAGATCTTCGTTGAAGAATCTTTGTGTTTTTGATGCTTTTCTATATCTTAACCTAAAAATATTGCTGAAGCTTTACAGGATGCAGACTGGGTGAATGCAATGCAATATGAACTCAACCAATCTGAGAGAAGTCAAGTTTGGAATATGGTACTAAGACCCAAGGACAGATCAATAATTGGCACAAAATGGGTCTTCAGAAACAAACTTGATGAAGATGGAACAGTTACAAGGAACAAGGCAAGATTGGTGTTTCAAGGATATATTCAAGAGGAGGGCATAAACTATGATGAGACTTTTGCTCCAGTTGCAAGATTAGAGGAAATTAGACTCCTTATAGCCTTTGCTACTTATATGGAATTCACTCTCCATCCGATGGATGTCAAGAGTGCCTTCCTCAATGGCTACCTAAAGGAAGAAGTGTTTGTCAAGCTACCTCCGGTCTTTGAAAGCAAGGAATGTCCTGATCATGTGTACAAGCTTGACAAGGCACTTTATGGGCTCAAACAGGCTCCAAGAGCGTGGTATAAAAGATTATCAAATTTTTTGCTTGAGCATGGCTACAAGAGAGGTAAAATTGACAATACTTTATTCCTGAAAGAAAAAAGTAAAGATCTCTCGGTAGTTCAGATATACGTCGATGATATAATTTTTGGAGCAACTACTGATAAGTTAAGTAGAGAATTTGCTAAACTAATGAGGAGTGAATTTGAAATGAGTATGATGGGTGGGCTTAATTTCTTTTTAGGCTTACAAATTAAACAAAATTCAAATGGAACTATGATCCATCAGCACAAGTATGTGAAAGAGTTGCTTAAAAGGTTTAAAATGGAAGATTCCAAAAAAATTGACACTTCTATAGCAACAACCACAAAATTGGATGTAGATGAAGATGGTTCATCTGTTGATCAGAAGTTGTATAGGGGAATGATTGGCTCTTTGTTGTATCTCACTGCTAGCAGACATGACATTGTTTTCAGTGTAGGCCTTTGTGCTAGATTTTAGGGAAGTCCAAAGGAGTCTCACTTGACTGTTGTCAAGAGGATCTTGAGATACCTAAAAGGCACTACTGACCTTTGTCTATGGTATCCAAAAGGTAGTAATTTCAACTTAGTGGGATATGCAGATGCTAATTATGTAGGTTTTCTCATGGATTGAAAGAGCACCTCAGGTATGGCACACTTTCTTGGCTCATATCTAGTGTCTTGGGCCACCAAAAAGCAAAATTCTGTGGCCTTATCTACTGCTGAAGCTGAGTATGTTGTTGCTGCCTCATGTTGTGCTCAATTGTTGTGGATCAAATAGCAATTAATGGACTTTGAAATTGATGTAGGTTGTATCCCCATCTTTTGTGACAACACTAATGCAATTAGTATGAATAAGAACCCGGTTCATCACAAGAGAACTAAGCACATAGATGTTAGGCATCATTTTTTAGGGATAACTATGAGAAGGGTTTGATCACTGTGGAATTTTGTGCTACTGACAAGCAAATAGCTAACATCTTCACAAAAGCTCTAAGTAGAGATCACTTTGAAAGGAACATGTTAGAATTAGGGATTAAGATCACCTAAAAGGAAACAGCTCTAACTCAAAAAATTGGTTAGAGAAATTGTGAATTTTTGAACATAATTAGATTAGATTTTGCTTAGTCTCATACTTTCATCAGTATACTCTTGTTCCATGTGCTAAAATTACTCATTAATCTCTAATGATATTATCTCTATTTTCTTGGAAAATTCAGACTTACACAAGAGATTTCTCAGTGAAGAACCTGGTTCATCAAGATTACTTGGTACGTATTCTCCACTCTGCATATTTTGGAATAATAATATTCAGATTATGATCAAGAGGAGAGTCCCAATTAATCCTAACCTCTTTGAGCTTATCCATGGAAAAATGAACCAGTTTCATTCAAAAGAGTCCCAAAACGCAATAAGTGCCTAGATTCTAGGAAAAGTCACAAACGTCTCCTCAAACTGACTCCCAGGTTGATTAGACCTCTGAACTTCTGTAAAGGTAGTTGCTACCCAATTAAACTCCACCTCTTTAAATTGATTAGGCCTTAATTATTTCTTCACTTTAAATCTCTAAGCCGTCAAAATTCTTTCAATCCTCTCTTATCTTCCAATCACATACATATTCATCTTCTCTCATACCCAAACACACAAATGGCGAACCCTTATGAAATTCCGTCATCACTACCCAAGGAAACAACACCCACACCATTCATCACACCTTCACCCACATCAAGATTTAAGAAAGGAAGGTTCAAGATGCTGGCTCGCAAGGTTGTTGCTGGAAAAGAACAACTCAAGAAAATCAATAAGCAGTTGAGGGCAAGTTAGGGAGTTGAATCCCAAAAATCTGAAGACTCTTTCAAATATGCAACTGAGAGGGAAGAAACTGTTTCATCTGAAACGGAGGAGGTAAAATTTGGTCCTAAAGTTACATCTGTAGTAACCTCTAAGGTTACTGCAAATTTGGAAACTAGATTTGTTCTGGAGGGAAAAATGACTGGGGTAGATACCGCTGAGTTTGAGAAAATGGGTGGTAAAAATAAAAAGGGAAAAGAAAAGGAGAGTGAGGGCGCTCAAGGTGATGTGAGGGGAATGGGACAAGAAGTGGCTGAATCTTCACCCACTCCTGTTGGTTTGACTGACGCTATTGGGGTTATGGAAGGAGGGAGTGAGGAATCGACTAAAAAAGAGAAAAGTGTGAAAGAAAAAGGGGGAAGTGGATCTGGAGAAGCTGCTGAGGGGTTGATTAGATTAGGGAAGAAGGTTCAAGAACCTGTTCCATCTGAGCAGGAACCCCTTGAAGACTTACTGAAAAAGGTGTGTAACAGTTACAATCCAACAAAGAAAAGAAGTTCAAGAGTTAAAGTCCCTAGTACTGGTAGGGCAAACAAGAAAAGAAAGGCTGCCTCGTCTATCCCAGTAGAGACTTCTCCTACAAGAGGAAGAGCTACAAGGAGTCAGAAGAAGCAGAGCGAGGCTGAACTGGAAAAGGCCTTAAAAGAAAGTAAGAGAAAAGCTACTGCTAAGGGAAAAAGAAGGTGGTTGAGCCTGTTGAGGCAGTTGAAATTGATGAGATAGACCTGGTTTGTCATAATGAAGAGGAGGTAGAAGAAATGGAGGTCGTGACTCCAAAGGCAAATAAGATCAAGACTTCTACAATGAAGTCTGCTTCAAAGACAAAGTCTGCAGGGCCATCCTCCTTGGTCAAAAGAACCAGGTATACCTTGAAGTCCAGAAAAGTGAAAACAGTGGAGAAGAAGAATGGAGTAGAGAAGAAGAAGAAGAAGAAGAATCTGATGCTTAGAAGGACAAGATGATTAAGTTTGGGAAGAAAACCATCTTGAAAGGTAGACTCCTCAAGGTCTTGGTGGAAGAAGGTATGTTGATGCTACCGGAGAAGTTACAAGTGTAGGGTTGGAAGGACATGATCCTTTAGATAGATGGAAAGCTTGCCAGAACTGAGATTATGGAGTTTATGGTAAATTGTGAGATCAAAGATGGTAGGGTCACCAGTGTGGTAAAGGGGGTGACAGTGAATTTTGATGACAAAGAACTGGGAGAGATTTTAGGTGTACCTGCTGCAGGGTACAATGACTACAGAAACCTCAAATGGCCAAGCCTAGAGAATCTCCCTACTGCCCTTGCCATTATAATAAAGTTTGGTGACAATGCTGAAGAGCTTGAGCCCAAGGCTGTGTACAAAAGTGAGATGAAGTCACCCCATAAAGTGTTGTTCGAATTTGTTAACAACGTTGTGCTACCTAGGCAGGAAAGGAGGCACATTGCCACATTTATGGACCTGGTCCTTATGGAATGTTTGGACAATGAGAGGCAAATCAATTGGCCTGAATTTATTATTCAGCTTCTTGATAGGGTTCTAACTGGCACCAAAACTTATGCCATACCCTATGGTTTTATTCTCACGGTGGTACTTGCACACTTTAAGGTACCCATCAAGAAATAGGAAGTTGGTACAAGCAAGGATCACTTTGGGACAAACACTCTGATTGCTTGTGACTATGAAATCTACACCACTCCCAAAGAACCTGGTTCATCCAAAAAGGTATCTGTGAACAGCAAAGTGCGAGTCTTGGTGCAAGAAAGTGGAGCTAAGGATGCCGAAATTAAAAGGCTAAAGAACATATTGGCGGAAGTGGAGATTGGGAGAGATGCTCTTAGAGCTGAGCTGGCAAAGGAGAAGGAGAAGAATGATGGCATTCTTCATGACATGCTGAAACTGCTTCAAGCCAAGAACCAAGAACCTGGTCCTTCCCCGCCTTAAGCCTTCCTAGCCTAGTTAGACCAACTAGTGACCCGAATGGGATTTGTTTTTCTTTTGCTCATGATCCAATATTTTTTATTTCTCTTTATGCGTGTGGATGACTAAGTATCAATGATAATTAACTATTTTTGTGCTCTAAGTGCTTGTTGATGCTTCTTAGATGGCTAATATCATTAGATTGATAAATGATGCTTGACTCCATGGTTGCATTTGAAGTAGCTCCAGTGGCCATGAGTGATTTCTATTAAAATCTGATTATCTAACATAATTTCTATGAAACTTTTCGATGATGCCAAAAGGGGGAAGATAGGTTGTGCTTTTTACATTGGACTGTGATGTTTATAACCTAATGAACCTGGTCCTTGATGATTAGTGACTTTAAAATGGAAAGTGTTCTAACCTTGTGTTGGTGCGAGTTTAGTTGATATAGGGCTTATGATTATGGAAAGCACAGAGTTTGAATTTGTCATCATAAAAAGGGGGAATTTGTTGGCCCAAGTGAAGTTTTGTTTTAATGATTGACAAAGGAACTTGTGCATGAACCTGTTCCATACACATTGTACACGTACACGGGCAAATTCGTGCATAAGGGATGTACGTGAAGGAGATAAACTTAAGTTGTTATATCTGATATCTCCTGATCGAAAAGATTGCATAAATGATAAGGAGAAGGACTCCTTACTCGAAGAGAACTTTATCCAAGATAAGGGATGAGTTAGAAGTTGAAGATAACTAGAACTCTTCCACCAAGGAAGAGTAGCATTAGAACTCTAGTTATTTTCCATTCTACTAACTCTATATATTGCAGGATGTTCTTATTCTACAGATACACACAAACACTGAAGTTAAACGTGAGTTGAGAGCAAAATAGCAAGGCATTTTGCAAGCAATTCTTGTGTGAGTCAAGTGTGTGAACCTGAAGCTACATGAACCAGATAGAAGAACCAGTTCTAAGCGTCTGTCTTTTATTCTAATTCAATTGTAGTAGGTGTTTTCAAGTTGTACCTTTTAACTTTATCTAGAAGCAATTGTATTAGGTACTCTGAGTATTCAAGTTAGAGTTAACTTGAAGTTGTCGCAACAGTTAGAGGCTGGTTGCCACAACGGGATTAGAGTTAATCCTTAGGTTTACAAAGAGTTTTGTAATTGTTGTTTTGGCTCAGTGATTTAGTAAAGTGTTGGGGAAAATCCTACTGAGTAGTAGGTCGTGATTTTTCACCTTTTTAGCTGGGTATTTTCCACGTAAAAATACTTGTATTCTTTACTTTCCGTATTTTCTATTTCCGCAATAGTAGTATAAGGAACACTTAGAAGAACCATGTCCTTATATAATCAGTGCACGCGGAAATTGGACACCACATAAATCACCCCCCCTCTTGTGTGGGATTGAAGTATAAAACATCACTAACATATATAGTTTACTCTAAACCTCCTTTCGTTTTTAGCTAGGTAGTGTACTATGTGGCTATGGCCTGGATCCTCCAACATTGCCGTAAAACCATATCAGATCCTCCAAAAATGCATCCGAAAATATCACCCACCTTCGATCCTCCAAATATCATGCATTCTTGGACGAACTGACATAGGTGCTGCAACATTTTTGGAGAATTCGAGCAATACAACTATATGGTCCAATAGTTTTCTTCATCATTCCCTCCTTTCTCTTTGTTATGATTTTCACACGATTGTAATGATAATCAGTTAAATAAGTTTTGAGATATGAAATGTTTACTTTTTCTTGATCAGCATTTTCAATTCCATAGCTGATATCTATAAAGGAAACGGTTCATAATATGAGTAGAATATGATGGTCTATTTATCTACCTTCACTTTGAACTTTTCCTCCAACTCATATGCTAATATAATAATATTCCTTCACTATATACAATAATATATGGTCAAAATAATAATCTCCGAAGTAATACAAAACAAAAGATATCAAAAGAATTATACATATAGCACATTCCACCACAACTGATAATTTCTAGTCCAACTCACGTGTCCATAACTAGTTTTTCAGTGTACTTAATTTCTTTTTTAAATATGTTTTGGCCACTTTTCTCAATATGGCCTCCTCTTTGCTAACTGGAATGTTTTTTTCAAGAATTGATTAGCAACTTTATCATTTCTATGACAAATTACCCTCAAGATTGTATTAGGATCTGATCTGTTCCATCTTCCTGTTGTTGGAGGCATAGGTAGTTTCTGTCCTGATCCCACAATTCCCATTCCACTAGCTTCACAAGCTACAATGCTGAAATCTTCAACTAATTGCTCAGTTGATTGTCCCATTAAAGCTATCACCCCTTCTACTGTCTCAGCTTCTGTGTCCACAACATCTTCAACTATCAATCCTTCACCACAAGTACAAAACACCCTCTTTAAGCTCTCAAAATCTTCCTCTATTATCTGATGATCGCCCCTCGAAAAGATTCTTTTGCTTCCTCCTGCAAGTAAAACCATAAGATATGCCTCAAATGATGCCTTCATCACTTCTTTTAAGGCCAATGGTTGAGCCCTGTCAGTGAGAATCGCGCATAAAAGAGTGAGGTTTTGCTTAAGTGCCCTTAAAGCTGGTCGAATACGTGTATTCTCAACGTCCCTGATGTAGAGGCTACCGTAGAATACAGAGTGAGAATCGAAGAAAATGAGACGATAAGCTGCAACTTCTGATACATGTTGTACAGCTACTTGGATGGCTGAACGCGTGTGATCAAAGTAAGAATAGCTTCCAATTTGTCGATTCTTGCTGTGACGACTTCTTGGAGAAGGGACAATTTTTGAGGAGAGTGATAGTGTTTTGTCAAGTGAATGGAGTTGCAGAAGAAAGTAATGTAATGTGTTAAGCCTGATATATAGGCGTTGAGTTCCACGACTTGTTGAAAGGCGGGGATGATTGCCTTCATCATTTAAATGCTGGTTTTGATCATCTGCTCCTACACTGCAAATAGCCATCTTCCACAGTTTGGAAAACCTTGAATCTTGACTACATCTTGTTAGAGGAGGAAGTGTAGGAATGTAACTTTGTTTTGACCCTACATAAAGATACCAACGTCAAAAAGAACAAAAAATATTTGAGCATCAAAAATAACTTTTGGTCAAACAAAATACTTTTTTGTGCACTGAATTCCCGCTATGCGCGGGATCCAGGGAAGGGTCGGACCGCAAGGGTCTATTGTACGTAGCATTACCCTACATTTCTGCAAGAGGTTATTTTTACAGCTTGAACCCGTGACCTCATGATCATATGGCTACAACTTTACCAGTTACGTCAAGGCTGCCCTTCAAAATACTTTTTTTGGTATGAAATGAAATCTGTTTCATGAGTTGGCTCTTACCGCATGATGTGACAAAGGTAACATACTCTTTGAATAGATGTTCAAATCCATCAGCAAGATCACCTACTAAATCCTCTGAAATGACCATTGGAATTTCAAAGAAATTGTCAACAGCTTCTTTGGCATGTCTCATTAAATCAACTGCTGATTGCGCGTATGGCTCACTTTTGGATTTTGGATTCCATGTCTACATATCGAAGTTTTCAACTTTTAGTAAGAGTAACAACAACTAACAACAAAAAACCTAGTGGGATTCCACAAGTGAGGTATGGGGAGGATAGTGTGTACGCAGAACTTACCCCTACCCTGGGAGGGTAGAATAAGGGCAGCTCAGTGCACGAATCATCCCGTGTTTACGCAGGGTCCGGGGAAGGGTCGCATCCCAATGGGGTATAATATAGGCAGCCTATCTGATGCGAGCATCAATGGCTAATTTCACGGCTCGAACTCGTGACACGAAGACAACTTTAACGTTGCTCCAAGGCTAGGAGGGGTAGAGTAAGAAGTATGAAATTTCAAAATGAAAGTCATCTAATTTATAGACTTACTTCAGTTTCTTTTGCTCTCATAATAATCTCCTTTCCTTTCTTCAACCTTTCTTGAATCCATTTTCTCAATAGATTCATTATAATTGAATCAACTTCATAAGGATCCATCTCCCTAACTATAGCTTTGCCTCCATCTTCACATTCATCAG